CGTGTCGATCCCCTTCAGCTGCTCCACCAGCTCGAGTCTTGGCTGCATCCCAGCTGAATCACCAAATCCTGCTCCTCGGACAACTTGGGACGATGTGCGTGCTGCACTGTCCTTCCTGTGGAACATGCTGTTGTGGAGGTATAAAGAGCAGCTTGAAAGCTGCTGCTGCTGCTGCATCTTCTTCTCGGCAGACTGCAGCAGGCCTTCTCTCTTCTTCAGTGCGTGGGGAACGATCCGATCCGTAACCTAGTCCACACCATGGCTCCCAAGTCCCTCTTTTATTCCCTCTTCTCCACCATCAGCGTCGCTCTGGCGTCGTCCATCCCCCAGACCGATTACGATGTGATTGTCGTGGGAGGAGGTCCCGCGGGCCTCAGTGTCTTGAGCAGTCTCGGGCGCATGAGACGGAAGACCGTGATGTTCGACTCGGGAGAATACCGTAATGGTGTTACGCGCGAGATGCACGATGTCCTTGGCTTTGATGGTAATTTCTGCCTCATTTACCCCAGGATCTCCCATTTCATGTCAATTTATACCTAACATCCACAAAGGCACTCCACCTGCCCAATTCCGTGGCCTCGCCCGCCAGCAGATCTCTAAATACAACTCGACCAGCGTCATCGACATCAAGATCGACTCCATCACCCCGGTCGAGGATGCCGCAGCCAACAGCTCATACTTCCGTGCCGTCGACGCCAACGGCACACAATACACCTCCCGCAAGGTAGTCCTGGGTACCGGGCTGGTCGACGTGATCCCTGATGTGCCCGGTCTCCGCGAAGCCTGGGGCAAGGGCATCTGGTGGTGTCCCTGGTGTGACGGCTACGAGCACCGCGACGAGCCCCTCGGTATCCTAGGCGGGTTGCCGGACGTGGTCGGCAGCGTCATGGAAACCCACACCCTGTACTCGGACATCATCGCTTTCACTAACGGCACCTACACGCCCGCCAACGAAGTCGCCCTGGCAGCCAAGTACCCGAACTGGAAGCAGCAGCTCGAAGCGTGGAATGTCGGTATTGACAACCGCTCCATTGCATCCATTGAGCGTCTCCAAGATGGAGATGACCACCGCGACGACACGGGTAGACAGTACGACATCTTCCGGGTCCATTTCACCGATGGCTCCAGCGTTGTACGCAACACCTTCATCACAAACTACCCGACCGCCCAGCGTTCCACTCTGCCCGAGGAACTGAGCCTGGTCATGGTGGATAACAAGATCGATACGACAGACTACACGGGCATGCGCACCAGTCTGTCGGGCGTCTACGCCGTCGGTGACTGCAACAGTGATGGATCCACGAACGTGCCGCATGCCATGTTCAGCGGAAAGAGAGCGGGTGTCTATGTGCATGGTGAGCCTCCCTATACCTTCCTGTCTTCCGTTCTTTTTTTTTTTTTTCCCCTTTCTTCCATCCCTACCATGAGATCTTGAATGAAAGTCAACTAACAAAAACGTGTAGTGGAAATGTCCCGCGAAGAGTCCAACGCGGCCATCTCCAAGCGCGACTTCGACAGACGCGCCCTGGAGAAGCAAACCGAGCGCATGGTCGGCAATGAGATGGAGGATCTGTGGAAGCGCGTGCTGGAGAACCACCACCGCCGGTCTTGAATCTTCCATACTATATACTAACGTCCTGTCCATGAATAAACAACACGACTAGCCACTATGATATATAAATTTATATGTAACTAACGTTTAACGTCCTCCATGATCATATGGAGTGACACACATATTAATAGTTTCACCAAGAAAATACATACACACACACACATTCGATAATAAACATAGCTCCTGAGTAGTATCTACATAGTAAGCAATTCCGTAACTCTAAAGAATGCCAACTCTAGTACTTGATTGGTTGGTAGGTTAGCTACTTCTCATACAGTACTAAGTAGTAGTAACTGAATCGACGCCCCCAACAAAACTAAGTATTTCCTACCTCCCACCCACTTTACCAAGCACCCAGAAATCAACAAATGAAAGAGAAATACGATTAATAGTGACAACCTGAAATTACATTATACAGGTCATATCGGCTTGTCTTGATTCGTACTTTTAGCTAATACCTTGTGAACTCCAAGAATACTTGCAACTCCTTGAGACTGTGACTCGGAAGTTGTCTGGTCCAAATTATATATATCGACTACTAGTAGTAGCACTCTTCTGCCAACAATACTAAGTAGTACTAATGAATAGAACTATAGTAAGATGTTAAAAGCATTGTATGACTTTATTTGGGTTTATCTATACTACCGTAGTACTACTAGTTACTACGAGTTTGAATGGATAAATACTTACTGCTATAAAGGCCCGAAGGGGGTGGATTGTGGGATGTTCTGTGTCAGAATTCAAGAGTGACATATGATAAAAACGCTGCTGTATGATTAACCTGATGCTGGAATTGTAGTAGTAATTGGTTGATTAAAGGTTGGCCACCGTTACTCTACCTAGTTATTCTTCGTATGAGGATGCGAAGAGAAAAATTTCAGAAGTAATGGCTTGTTTTTGGGCCGGTGAGGCTGCTATGAAGTGATAATTCTGTTCGTTCTTCTGCTCCCCCATGCAAGTGGGCTTTAATTACTGCTACAGCTGATCAGACAAATACACCAGGTATATATTAACTAGTTACTAACTACCTACTCGATGAACACATTTATACTAGATATCACAAAAACAAGTAACTATTATTATCATTCAGCATCCATCGTCCCAATATCCTTCTCTTCCCATTTGAGAACACATATTATAAGTCTTCTCAGATGTCACATTTTTCCTTCATTAAAATAAGCAGCAGTATCGGGCCACTACTCCAGTAAGTCATCCCGGAATCCACCCTTGAGCTCAAGACGCAAATCCCAGCTCTTACTCCACTTCTTCTTCTTCCTTGCTAGTGGCCAGGAAGAAGCGACCCTTGGGCTTCCCAGGCTCCTCGTACTCGACCGTCAGTCGAGCAAGGTGACCCAACAGGTTCTCGATCTTGAGGTCGCCCTTGTCGCGCTTGTGACGACCAAGTTCATCGAGCCACCGGAACTTGTTCAGCATGAAGTAGACCAGCGCAATGACGATCTCCACACCTAGCGAGTAGCCCCAGATCCGGACAACCGTGACGATATCTGTCCAGCCGTTGGTGGTCTCGACGAAGGAGTCGGCAGGGTTCGTGGGCATGTCTTGGTTGGTGAACCAACCGAAGAGACAGAAGATCGTTGCCAGGACATCCACTCCCAGAATGGCTGTGACGAGGTGGATTGATGGCCAGGTATCAGCACCTCGAGTGACAAAGATCAGCCAGTTTTCGGTCAGTGCGACCTCGAGGAACAGGACCTCCTGAATCGAACCCCAATTTTGAATGATACCACCTGACGGGAGGAACATAGTACCGCGGACAACCCATGTACCCAGTGCAAGCAGCAGACCCAACAACACTGAGATGAACCAGATCTTGGGGAGCTGCCATTCGACAGGACGCAACTCAAATGAGGCGTTATCATATGCCACAGCGACCGTTGCCAGATCAGCGAAAAGAGCAAGGAAGACAATCAGCTCGACACGAATACTCTCATTGAGAATAATCATCGAGGTTACCAGATAGATCTCCAAGTGCAAGCAAAGAGCGATACGGTACTGGATATATGCTTTCATGCGGTGGAAAATCTGCCGAGCCACCTTGATCGAGTCGATGATGGTAGACAATCCAGGCTCCAAAAACACAATATCAGAAGACGACTGCGCTGCCTCAGTTGCTCCTTCAACAGCAATACCACAATCTGCTTTCTTCAATGATGGTGCGTCATTTACTCCGTCACCTGTCATCGCGGTCAGATGGCCGCGGTCTTGAAGCATCTGCACAACCTGATATTTATGTTCAGGGAACACTTCAGCAAATCCGTCTGCCTTTTCAACCAGATCACCTGCCATGGCTCCACTCAGGCCGCCATGAATAAGCTTATCAGAGTTATACACTTTAGTACCGAGGGCAAGCATCTTGCACGTCTCTTTAGCGATCGCAATGGCATCACCCGTAAGCATCTTCACACTGATACCCAGGTTCTGAGCTTCGTTGATTGTCTGAGCTGTATCCTCACGGGGTGGGTCAAACATGGGAAGCATTCCAAGCAAAGTCCAGTCTTCTCCTTCTTTCTGCACTGCGACACCCAAGGAGCGGAATCCTCTGTGCGCAAACTCCTGGGCCTTCGCTTTGTAGTGATCGGAGGTTTCCTTGGAGCAGTTCGTCAGCTGGAGTACAGCTTTGGGGGCGCCCTTAGTGCAGGTGTATCTTGTCCCATCACAGCTTGCTACCGTCACAATCCGCTTGGACACCGGATCAAAGGGAGTAAATTTTTCAGTCTTCCAACCTCTCCGGAGTATCTCCCGGGCTCTTGGGTATTGCCGGAGAGTAAGAATCGTGACTTTATCGATAGGGTCCAGCGATTCAATGTTGTGAGAAGAAGCCAGGACAGCCACAGCAAACATCCAGTCCACATCCACACCTTCGGCTACATACGGCTCGCGGATGCTCAGCTTGTTCGCCGTCAATGTTCCTGTTTTATCCGAGCACAAGATATCAACGCCCTGTCCGAGAGGTTAGCAGCAGTACATTTTCCCCCTGATGTACATTCCAACATACCGCCAGTGATTCGATCGCAGTCAATTTCTGCACAATTGCCTTCTTCTTGGCCAGATATGCTGCTCCGACGGCCATTGTAGTGGTGGTCACAACCGGCAAACCAACAGGAACACCAATGATCAACAAAGCAAGGGTGTAGTGAAGGAGCGTCTGCTGACCCGGCGAAGCAATGGGGATATGGCGGTAGAAACCACCAATCCAAGCAGCCAAGATCCAAGCCATAACGAGAATCAAAAGAGAAGTACCAATGTTGTCCATGACAATTTCGAAGTGACCAGCACCCTTGGCGGATTGCACCATGCTCGCAGTTTTACCCACGAACGAGTTCTTCGCGCCTGTCTGTACAACCGCGTAGGCCTTACCGCGCTTGCAGCCGGTCGTATAGTAGATCAACCCACCCATATAGCGATCAACTGCAAGCGACTCACCGGTAATAGCGGAATGATCACACGCGAGGATGGGGTAGCCACGGCGTCTTTTGGGCTTGGAACTCTCTTCCTTCTCACCCTCCTTTTGACCCTCTTCGGGCTCATTGTCTTCGAGGTCAGATTCGGAGGTACTGCTAAGGTCACCTTGCTCCTGCATCCTTTTGAACTCTTCCCAGCCATTGGGGTCATTAACATCACAGATAATCTTGGAATCGGCTGGGACGACGGAGCCTTCTCCGATAATGATCTGCGATTACATTGTTAGCTTTCAGGGTCCTATTCACAAATCTCACAAGTGGGCGCAACAAGGTCTCCGCTACATACCACGTCACCCGGAACAAGCTCCCGCGCTAAGATTTCCTGTTGCTGACCATCGCGGATCACGTTGGCTCTCATGGCAATGTCACCCTTGAGACTCGCAACGACGTCCGCAGCTTGCTTTTCTTGGTACCAACCGACGGCTGCGTTCAGGCACAGGATACCAATGATGACACCAAAGTCAATCCAGTCGTCCAGACCTGCGGCCAGAAGAACAGCCAACTCCATTACTGTGGCCTTGTCAGAACGAAACGAGTCTTGGTTAATCGCTGTGCCTGGGGACTTGACGGCGTACCATAGAGAATGGGGCCTCGGAAATACGACAGAATCTTAGCAATTGGATTCTCCTTTTCCGATACCAGCTCGTTCCACCCGGCACGTCGACGTCTGACCGGGACTTCGCTGCTAGGCAAACCTTGACGGATGTCCGTGATGAGCCAATCTTCGGGGAATTGGCCCGGTTGCTGGTCTACATGCTTGACGAAGACTTTGCGCTTCTTCCAAGGAGCATACCACACTCGTTTCTCCTCCTCTTCGCCTTGCATCTCTTCGCCTCGACCGCCCTCGCGGTAGGTGGAGGCATACTTGACCAACTTTCCATATTCGTCGAGGTTAGCGTAGTCTTCCTTGTAGGAGACACGAGAGACACGTCTCGAGTCGCGTCGCTCCGAGGTCGAGGTGCGGATTTGCGTTTGCGCTGTTTGCGCGGCACGTTCAACGTCGCCAGAGGCGCCGGCCTGCTCAGCCATGATCGATCCAATAGCTTGTCTGGGGCAGCAGAGGAAACCGTTGGCGTGCCCGAAGCGTTCTGCGGGCGTCCCCTTGTTTTACAGCGAAAGAGTGAGCGAGATCAACCTCACGCAAGAAAGAGAGAAAGAAAGCAACCCGTCGAAACAAGCGACAGCAACTCTACGAGGTAGAGAAAAGAAGAAAAGTAAGGCCTCCCCGCCAGGTTTGGGGAAGAAGAGACAAAGGAAAACGAGGAAAGCTTCTTTTTCTTTCTTGGTCCCAAGCAACAAGGATGCATGGACACTTTCACAGCCGATAGGAGCTCTGACGAATGGTGTTGACGGAGACAATCATGCTGACGTAGGAGAGTCCAGGAGGTTCCGGCAGTCTACGGAGGGTGATCACTCACCAGGTCGACCGGTCGGGCGTTTGTGTCAGTAACTCTGAGCAATTGAGCTTAAAGTGAACCGACTGCCGGAGCCAGTCACGAACGCGACAGGATGATAGACCATAGGCCCAAGGGGAATGACTCGTTGATTCGACGAGTGTCTTGACGTATGAGACATGGTGAGATTTCCGAACGAACCGTAGGGCATGGACGGGCCGAGTCTGGGAGCACACCAATAATCCATTGTGCCTTGGCGAGCGTTGGATTCTGAGAGGGTCAGCAGAGGAATTGACTCGTGACGCGATGATGTGTACCAGGGTCCTGGGCGTGGACTGGGTAACGGCACGGCAGTAGAGAACCACGGAAAGGCCTGGAGAGGGACAGCAACACAACAGGGATGACAGCTGCTAACGAGAGTGTTTGTGAGCTCAAGCTGCAAGCTTTTGGATGGTCAAAATGTGAAGCGTTCAAATAGACATGAAGATGAATTGCCAACTGATGCAAGGTGAAGTTGCGGGGGAGTAGTGAGAGTGTGTCTGGATAGAACTAGATAGACTAGTAACTAGGCAGTATGCAAAGTAGATAGTGGATGCCAGTCAGAAAGAGGAGTCAGTCGATCGATCGCACCAAGTGGGACTAGCGCCCAGACCCTGGCTGCATCGGGACTAGTGCAGTGCAACGTGACAGACCCATCTCGACGTAATATTACTGCCTCTATTACTCTCCATTACTCACTCTAAATTCCCTTCTAACCTCCAGCTCAAATCACCTTCTGTTCTTTCTCCACTCCCAGTCCCTGCCACGGAGCACTCGGATCACACAGGAAAGATCGAGAAGAAAGAAAAAAAAAATATGCCGAAGCAATGCCAGGTTAAAACGGCGGACGATCGATGGACGTACCAAACGACCACTTAGCGAATGACGGGGTCTGAACAAAGCAGTCCTGAGCAGGTGTCATCTTCCCCAACCCTCCGTCCTCCTTCAATGCCGTCACCACCTTCACAAGGTTCAAGGAATGTTGCTCCATATCCCTTGGCTGCCTTCCTTCCACTATGGCAATTGAGGGATTTTCTTTCCGAGTCCGACGGTCCATATAAAAAGAACTTTCGTCTCTGCTTCCCTCAGATGTCACGAGCTACGCCCCCTTCGCACTTTTGATCGGATCCGATTTTGAGCACAGCCCTACCTATGTAAGGGTCCTCTACGTATGTGGCTGCACACTGCCCTAAGGTTGGCGATCGTATAACTAGTATGGAGTAGGGCATAGAAAGTTTACTTGGGACACATCGTAGATTCGATTTCCTTGTAGCCACCTGACAATACTGCTCTTATTATGTGCCAGAATTCGAATCCAGCATGTGCAGATATTCCAAAGGGATGCTACGCTTATTATCTAATCGTCTTTCACATGTATCCTACATGATGTGACGGAATTATTTTCCTGCAAAGTATCAGATAGGGACATCAAGTGTATATATAATAATGTATGCGGTCTAAGATATGATAGTGCCCGCTGATCAATTGTTGTTGAAATCTTCCATTTCATCTACATCACATAACCTGCGTATCTTCGTTTACTTAATGCATACCTATTTGCCAGTCTTGCCGGTGGGGATGTTGAACAACACCGCCGGCTTGCCAGGAGCGTAGGGGCGGTCGCAGCGGAAGTAGCCCTTGCGCTCGAACTGGATGATGTCGCCCTCACGCAGTTCGGCCACGTTGCAGTCAGCCACAGCGTCCTCACGGAACTCGGTGTTCTTGTTCAGCACGTCCTCCAAAGCATCGTCCTCCTGAAGGGAGTCCTTGTTGAGGAGGTAGTCGAAGTCGACCAGCTCCACGGGGACCAGTTCCTGGTCAGCCGACAGCCAGGTGACCTTCTTCTCGGTCTTCTTGAAGTCGCCCTCCAGGTGCAGATCAAGCTCCAGGGACTGCACAACACCCGCGGAGTCCTTCTCAATCTTCCGGACAATGGCATTACCCCAGGCCATGAGGGTGATCTCCTCGTCCTGCTTGAAGGTCTTGGCATCCTCCTGGTCGAAGAGAACCGAGCCGCTGAAGGTGACCTTCTTCTGGCCAACTTCAGGGTTCTTGTTGTGCTTAGGCTTGTCCTCAGTGTAAGGAGCAGGGGCGCCCTTGATGACAGCCTTGACAAGATCCTTCTTCATGAGGGCAGTGTGGCGCGGCGCAACGGGGTCAATGTACTTCTTGTTGGTGGCCCAGATGAGGGTCCAGTCCAGGTTGGTGATGTTCTTGCTGGGTCCCTGCTTGAGAATGAACTCGCGGAGAGCCGGCACAGTCATACCCCTTCTGCGAATACCTCTGATCGTCGGGAAACGAGGGTCATCCCAGCCCCAGACAACGCCCTGGTCGACCAGCTTAGTGAGCTTACGCTTCGAGAGCAGAGTCCGGATGAAGTTCATGCGGGCAAAATCCCAGATCTGCACGTGGCGGAGTCCGAGAGTGTCCAAGAACCACTGGTACTGAGGGTTCCGATCACGGTACTCAATGGTTCTAAGAGCGTGGGTAACGCCCTCGATCGAGTCCAAGATGGGGCAGCACAGGTCGTAGGTCGGGTAGATCTTCCACTTCGTACCGGTGCGGTGGTGAGGAGTAGGGTTGCAGCGGTAGATGACGGGGTCACGCATGGCCTTGTTGGGGTTGTCGACGGACATCTTGGCGCGGATGCACCATCTGAGACCCTCGGGAGTACCCTGCTTCATCTCCTCGAACCGGGCAAGGTTCTCCTCCACGGAAGCGTCACGGCGCTTGCTGGGCTCGCCGTTCATTCTCTGGGAAGCCATGGTCTCCTTGTCGGTGTCATCAGCGTAGGCGTTGCCCTCGCGGATGATCTTCAGACCGTACTCGTAGATCTGGTCAAAGTAGTCACTGGAGTAGCTCATCCTGTCCGGCTTGATGCCCATCAGGGCCAAGTCTTCCATGATAGCATCCTGGAACTCCTGCTTCTCGTTCGAGGGGTTGGTGTCGTCAAAGCGCACCAGCAGGGTGCCGTTGTACTTCTCGTGCGCGAAATAGTCGTTCAGCAGAGCAGCCTTGGCGTGTCCGATGTGCAGGTATCCAGAAGGCTCAGGAGGGAAACGGGTAACAACACCCTTGTCAGTGTTCTGGAGAGCAATGTCGTAGCTGGCACCCTCCTTGGCCTTGGCCGCCTTCTTCTCCTTGGCGGAAGCATTGAGGCTCTCCAGAGCAGCGCTAGCCCAGGGGCAGAGCTCATCCAGGAAGTTGAACCAACGAGTCAGGTTGACAAGGGCTCCCTTGCGGATGGCCGAGATGGCAACGCGGTTGCCACGAAGGGCACCCCACAGAGCAATGTCGGGGGTGGAGAGCGAGTAACCGACCATGAAGGAACGGAGGAGAAGGTGGGTGTTCAAGCGCTGAAGCAGAGGGTCGAGAGCCTTGAAGTCAAGGGTGGTGAAGGACTCGAGCTGGGAAAGCCATTCGTTCTCCTAGAGAAGCCTTCATCAGCCTAGAGTCGCAATGAAGACGAAGCGGGAATCACTTACAGACTTCTCATCCTTTCCGTTGAGGAAGGGGAAGCTGGCGCGCAGCTCCTTGATGGCGTTGTCAGTTCCATAGGCGGGAGCACCGCTGGCACCTGTGAACTGAACGATAGCCTTCTCGCCTTCGGAGAGGACAGCCGCATCCTCAAAGTTGATGGCGATGACAGGAGTAGGGCGAGCCTCGTTGATGGAAGTGGCAACCAGGAGGACTGGAAGCAAAGAGGCCTGGTTGGCCTTGGTGGCCAAGTTAAGCTTAAACTGCGACATCGTTCCAAAGACCCAAAACCCCAGGAAATTAGATCAATTGCCCCAGGAGAAGGTGGTATAGAATGGTGGGATGGAGATAATTTACTGCCGGGAGGGGCAGTTTTGACTCAATGGGCTCCGCCGGCGGTAAGTTTCTCCGCGGGCGATGGTCGGCCGGAGCCTCTAGATTTCGGACCAGAAAACATTCCCGGCGCTGTCAAGCTCGTTCGGAGTTCATCGCCATGGCTTCCTCCTACAGCTCCCTCATGCCCTCTGCGGCACGGGGAATCTTGTCGTCATGTCGCCCTGCTCTTCGCCCGAGCCCAATTGTGCCTATTTTGCCCAGCCTGCAACAGGTGCGCACCGCTGCCCAGGCGCGCAAGATGAAGGGAGACAAGACCGCCAAGAGAAAGAAGGGTCCGAGGGAGTTCAAGCAGAAGGATCTCAAGGACATGCAACAGTTCGCACTGTGTGATGCCATGAGGTTTGTGTGGTCATCGCTGTGTCTCAGTCGACTTTCCCACTGATTGCTTTGGTCTTCACCGCAGGTATCTCCGTGCATTCGAAGTTGGCCGCGAGCCAACCTCTTCCAAATACGAGGTCCACGTTCGCCTGAAGACGAGGAGAGACGGTCCCGTCATTCGCAACATGCTTCGATTCCCCCATTCAGTCCAAACCGAGTCCCGAATTTGCGTCGTGTGCCCTCCCGGAACCCGCCATGAGAAGGAAGCTCGTGCGGCTGGAGCAGTCTTGGTGGGTGAGCAGGAGGTCTTTGATGCCGTGAAGGCCGGCAAGATCGAGTTCGACCGCTGTCTCTGCCACCCGGATAGTTTGGATGCTTTGAACAAGGCTGGCCTGGGTCGGATCCTCGGTCCCAGAGGCCTGATGCCCAGCGTCAAGACGGGTACTGTGGTCGAAGATATCGCCGTGCGTGTGGAGATGCTGCGTGGTGGTACTGTTTACCGTGAGCGTGACGCCGTCATTCGTGTCCCCGTTGGACAGCTTGGTTTCACCCCCGAGCAATTGCGTGACAACCTGCGCGCAACGATCGACCAGATCAAGAAGGATGCGGCCGGTCTTAATGACCGCATAACCAAGGAGGTGTACGAAGTGGTAAGTCGCCGACTTGCGTTGCGCCTGCAATCGGCATCTTTTACTAACGTTCCTTAGGTCCTGAGCTCGACCAACGGTCCCGGCTTCAGTCTGAATGGAGAGTTCAGGTCGGAGACCTCTCCCGAATCTTCCGCTTTGCAGGGCGTGTAAAATAGTCTCTAGCGTCTTCAAGTTTATGGGTGTACAGAATATGTTTCATTAGGAAGGTTACGGTGTATAATGGTATTGTTTCATATCTCACTCGAAACCAGAAAAGAAAATCTCCCAACGCCGACGCTATGCAAAATGGCACTGCTCTAGCTCTGGAGGTCCGCTAGGACTTCAGATTCTTGAGTGCCGATACAGCAGTAGTGTCCTCTCCCATGAGCTTGTAGAGACGCAATACGGCCAGCGTTTTCGTATCCCTCTTGTCGCCTGCATGGCTTGCTTGCTCCAGGGCCGTCTTCAGATCCAAGAGCACCGCAGATCGTATTTTCGACATCCTTGGTTGTTGGCTCTGTAGAAACGGATGGTTGTCACCTATCCGAGACGATAGCTTTGTCAAGTATACATATTTTTGAATATGACGCTCGAGTGTTTTGAGGGAAACGAGTGACGCAGTAGTTGCGCCGTTTGGCAGCTCATCCTCATCACTATCGTCGCTGTCGCTCTCCATCAGATCGGAATCCGAATCGGACTCGCCCGGGGTGCCGTCCTGAGGTGGCCGTGGAGTGTCTCCGATCATTAATCTCTTCTCCAGCTCCTCGACTCGATCCGCATAGTCCAGCAGGGCCTGTCCAACATTGGCTTGTGTCTTCAGGCGTTTCTTCTCTTTCAGGAGCTCTACCATCTCCTGTTGTCTGGCCTCAACCTTATCGCGTATTGACTGGGCATCACGCTGGAATGCTAAAAGACCGACCCGTACCTGCTCGACTTTCTCCTCTCCTCCGTTTAATGCGCTCCCTAGGGATAAAAAGTCCTGGTAGTTTTCGTTGACCAAGTCTAAAAGCTCTCGACTGAGTAATTGGTCCAAATCCCGTAGTTCCTGTCGCAAGTCCTCGAGGCTCTGGTGTCGATTGGTGAGGGAGGATAGATACGCCGCGGGGTCGAAGTCGGGGGCGAGGAAGGAAGCACGAGACAGAGGCTCGGGGAAAGGCAGTCCGGAGGTATCATCGTCGAATTCAGACGCAGACTCATCGGAGTCGCCAAACTAGGCGCATGGCAATCAGTTCCACTGAACTATGGCGGGAGAATCAATGGATGGGTGAAGGAGGAAGAGTTCGGTTAGACAGGGAATAGCATACGCGAAACCTATTCATCTTGAAGGGGTGACTTTAAGGTATCGAGCGCACCATATGCAGCTTCTGACGGACCCCAAGAGATTGGCGTCGAGGTGGCTACCACTGCTCGAAGGACACAACCAACGGGTTGGAGATGAACGAAGGAAAACTGACGATGATGATGATTGTTGGTGCTTAGTGTTTCCCCTTTCGGGTATCGAGTCCCCAGTTTCCGCCCGCTTCAACTTGAGACCAGCCACTTTTCTGAATAGTTTCTGGATTTCTTCGCTGCATCGCCTTGAATGCTGGCCCGATCCACTGTCATCTGCCTCCCCTATCATGCCAGCTCGTTGGCCTGCTAAGTCCATGCATCTGTGTTCCGTCGAGCGACGCGTTGGAGCGTGATACGTGTCCTGCGTTGTCTGCCCGTCCGCCGCCGCCGCCAGCCGCTACTGAGTGCTGTTGTCTGACAGGCGCTTGATCGCCTTCCCTGCTGCCAGCCGATCTGCCGCTGCTGTTGCGTATTGGCCGGAAGGCGGGGTTTTTACTCCGGTGGTGGTGGTGGTGTTGTCGTTGCGGGTGGTCATATCCCCGTCTACGCTCCGCTGCTGCGTCACTGAGCTTGTCTGGACCCGACGCAGCCTGCATCGCATAGTGGCTCAGAGAGGGTGCCTTGAACAGAGATGGATTATAGGTCCGGCAGGCTGCTCGCCCACACGGACGCTTTTCCATCGTCCTCGTCCGCCTTGCCACGCCGGAGATGGTCACAGCTGAACCCATTGCATGCCTCGCCTGTGGTCGAGACCGTTCGTCCTCTGCAACAAACTGCTCCTTATCGCTATGAACCGGCGTTAGATGAGTCCTCTCGAGCGCATCGTACCACTACGCTACGTCAGCTAAATGGGAATCCTGGGGCCTCATCCTGGAGAAACCATAATCGGTCAGCTACTTCGCGGCCCTCAACATCGGCATCGCAGCCCGTGCTTGTTAGGGCATATTCGGGCGGCCCTCATGACACCTCCAGTACTTCCACCACGATGCCTACGCGGCGCTCATTCCCATTCATCGGTGGCTCAAGAAGCCAGCGACGCGGGCCTGCTCTCCCATCAGGGGATGACTTTAGCATAGACGGCATACTGCGAGCGATCGAGCCGAATATCCGTCACACGCTAGACTCGATCGGAGAAATCTGCGGCCGCAGCAGACTCAGTCTGGCGAACGAATATGGAAGTCATATCGCTCCGCTGGGCGAGATCCGGGCTCCCCCGGGTGGTCTAGTGACAGTCGAAGAAGCTAGCTCCGACCATGAAAGACAAAGCGACAACGTGGTCATTTATGACGACGAGAATAGTGTCGCCGATGGACGTGATCATTCGTCCTCATCGCAGTATCGACACTGGGATACCGGTAGACGGCCATCTACGGGATTTCCATTCAGAACTCCGTTCTCTGGGGCCAACTCGTCGAGCCAGGCCCCGCCCAGTACCCCAAGATCTCCCCTGGCATTGCATGCGCCGGTCGAAGAGCCCGCGTTGGGGACGCTTCCCATGAGGCAATTTGCCTCCAAGCCCAAATCATGCGGTCGTACACTGTTGGGGACGCAGACGCAGTCGGACTCGAATATCCTTACTCCGGCTCTTGTATCCGAAGTCCTGCTTGATGCCCAGGCTGAGGCCAACGCAACCTCTTCCTCGGAGGTCCCACGAAGCCAGGAGCTTCTCAGACCTAGCGTTATTGGCTCCAGCGCTGGATATAGGGGTTGGTTTCCGCCGTCCCTGGTAGCAGAGGTTCAGGCGCTTCTAAGATGGCTACAGTATGGTGCCGTAGCTGCTGGTCCTGAGGCAAGACAGGCGACAGCTGAGATGCGACTACGCGCAATGTTGGAACAAGACCAAACCATCCCAAATGCGTGATGGTAATGATGTTGCCCGCGGCATTGTATGAGTTTAAGATGAACGGTGGTGATGATGATTATGATATGATATACGATGTTATCTATATACGGCAGAATTTACTAGGCAGCGATGCTACCCACGACATATAATGACTGATGACTATGCCACCCCACATCAATGAGCAATAGTACTTTTCTCATAGTGAATCATGATCTCGTATCACTCTACATCCATGCCAAGAAGACGCCACCCATGACAGATGCTCTAACAGTAACCCCCTATATATACTACTCCATCATTGCCCCTCAATCTCCGCAATCAACGTCTTCGAAAAGTCCTCGAACCGCGCATACGACCAACATTCCCGATACCTTTCCACTAGCGGCCTCTCATCCTTCTCTTCTTCCTCCTTCTTCTCCCCATTAGTATCCTCATCCTCATCCTCACTATCCTCCTCCCCACCAATCTTCCCCTCCACCAACTCCCCAAACCCAACGTCAACGGGCACCTTTCCCAAAAACCTTACACCCATCTCTTCTGCCAGAACCTGCCCCCCACCACTCGAGAACAGGTTCGTCACCTCCCCACAGCACGGACACGTATAACCAGACATATTCTCCACCACCCCCAGCATCGGAATCCTCGTCTTAACGCAGAAATTCACCTCCTTCCGTACATCAGACGTTGCTACCGCCTGTGGTGTAGTGACCAGTACCGCACCAGCCAGTCGAGGCATTCCAGTTGCAGAGGAAGCATCGATCGTACAAAGCGTCAAGAGCTGCTCCGCAAGAGCAATATGCTCATCACTAGTTCCGGGAGGCGTATCAATAAGCAAGTAATCAGTTTCATTCCACAGCACATCGGAGAGGAATTGGCGGATCATGGCTGTCTTTTTGGGCCCGCGCCAGATTACGGCATCGGACCGGGAACGTAAAAGGAAGCCGAGGGACATGCAGCGGAGAGAGCCGTGTTTTATGGCGCTTCCACCTTCTGTTTCTGTTGCCGTTGTTGTTGTATCTGGTTGTGAGGTGGAGGAGGCATTGGGTGTGGTGATGATGGTGGAAGGGTGAACGGGAACAGGAAGCCAACCGCCTGGCGCTTGGGTAATTTTTGCGTCTTCGAGACCGACTAATCGTGGGATTGAAGGGCCGGTGAGATCGATGTCCAGGATACCAACGGATTTGCCTTGCAGGGTGAGCGCGAGGGCGAGTTGCAGGGTTACGCTGGATTTGCCGACGCCGCCTTTGCCCGAGAGGACCTGGGAGATAGCTTGTTAGCTTCTCTCTGGACAATGTATTGGAAGGTGTATAGATGGATAGAGGTAGATAGGATGTGCGCGCATTGTATGTGTAGGTGTGGCCATCCTTCCATCCTGTGCGCAGTTGCGCGGTGTTATCGATAAGAGAGGAGGGGTTGTCGCAATGATGTTTGGAGCTGGAGCTCAGGTAAATGAAGAGTAATACTCACCAGCACAACATTCTTCACCCCGTCGAGAGGCATCTTGAGTATCCGCTCTGCTATGTATTTGTATCTGGTTGGGTTGAAGAAGTGGTGAAGGTCGAGGTGTTCTGGGGATGGCGATGGCGAGCCGATTTCGGGTGGGCTTTTTTTCTGCGTCATTCCGCGGAGTTTGCTTATCAATCCAGCCGGTTCGGAGATATCACTCACTCACTGACTCCTATCTGTGTCTACGAGATGCATGCATACTGCAGCATATCTTGGGGTATACGATGTGCTACTCTGCTACTCTCTACAGGGTGCAGAAGTCTGCAGCATTGGACTTAGCGTACGCAATTTCAACTCTAGACTGCTCGTTACTGATCATCATTTGTATCATTCCATAACTCGGGAGCTGCTTCTCATCAACTCGTATCTATGCCTAAAATGCCTATCACTAAATCCTGACGTTGTGAGAACTTGCACCGAGCTTATGCACACCTCTATACCCAACAGGACTGACTATACCACCACACACTTATTGCCACTTCTGTACCACCACGCCGCCCCGCTTAAACTCCGCCATATCACCCAGCACAACACTCTTGTCAGAAAGATCCTTGCTGGGGAACGTAGTCATCAATACCCAGGGACGCGACTGACTACTGGGGCTGGCAGCGGACACAAACTGGTACACGTCACCAATGGTATGGGTGGTGTTGAACCGGGAAGTGAGCCGTGAGCCGTCTCCAAGGCGGATCTGAAGAGTCACTATCGGCTGCGACTCATCTACGTCCGGCTTGGCTGGCTCGGTAGACTGACTGGGAGTAGGAGCTGCTGCTGGCGCAGGTGCCCTCACACCAGGCGTGGGGCTGCCGAGGCGCTGTCCAGCCCCGGAAAAGGGCTTGTACTTAGGCTTGGGCTTCACGTATTTCTCGTCGTGCTGTTTGATCTCCACGTCCACCTCCTGGCCAGCCTGCACATTCATGATGGAGAGCGGGGCACGGCCCTGGCGGATACCCTCGAGGATCTCGCGGTTGGCGGGGTCGTCGGAGTTGAACAGCTCTCCGTCATCAACAGAGAAGCCATCTGACCAGAAGTGTAGGGTTCTATGTACGCGCTGCGGTGTCTGCGAAACAGGTGCACTGGGGGCTTCGATTACCCTGCTGGGAGCCTCATCACCACCAAGGGTACGTGCTGTGCCGGTGAAGAAAGACCTTCTGGTAGGTTCGTCCGATGGCGGAGGCTGAGCCCTATAAACATATCAGCCCTGAGCAACCAAGTGTATCCAAAAGACCTCACCTTTTGGCCTTTTCAATGATCTTCTTCTTGATATCATCGGGGTTCTGCACAGCCAAGCCCGACTTCTCACCTCCAGCGAAGAAGTCCTGGTTCACTGCATCGTCCTCCTCTGAAGATTCTCCTCCACCCGACGCAAAGTCGTTCAGGGTTGCAAACTTCTTTTTCGGGGCCGACCTGCGGGACGAGGGCTGCGGGGTAATGGAGGGGGAATGAGAGGAGCTGCCACCAAGCGAACGGCCTGCAGAGGGTTCCGATTCAGTGCCCAGTCGGCGACCACCACCAGCCGCACCAGTATCCTGTGAAGCTTCATCTTGTTCGGCGAAGAATTCGGTCACTGCGGCTTCGAGGTCCCACTCGTTGGCTGCGAGATAGCCTTGCGCCTGAGATGAAGTATGTAGTTAGCAACCATAGCTCAGTCTGGGATGATTAACATGTACCTCGTGAGGATCCGTCCTAGTCATGGCGCAGAATTGAGAGACAATCTCATCACGATCCGCGTTGTGCTCCATATTGGAAGTAAATCAACCGTGACGGCACTGCACACGTTGGGATGGTTGAAGTTAGAGGTTATGAAGCTTCGCAGTCCAGCACTGATTCAAAGACGAAAAGGCGCAAAAGACTATCGAAGAAAGGCGGAGAATGTTGGGGACTCGGAAGATGCAGTGGTTCGTAATATTGCAGCTCTTCACGAAGCTGAAGGGACCCAATAACGGTACGTCACTGTTGCCTGATTGGTCATCCGGAAGAGGGGATCTTCCGCAGGTGCCTGAGGAATCCCCAGGCGAATCATTAGTGAGAGGATATTCCGTGACGAAAGATCGTGACTTCACTCCTTTCATTTCATGACTGCACTCTCACTTGCTTCTCATACTCAACTTCTCGTCTGACTTCACTTGATACTATCGCATGACCCAACAGGTTGTCTCTTCTGGTTGTTGCTATAGTGAACGCGAGGCCAGGTGTGCTTACATAACCCCTTCTGCAGGTCAGGTGTAGATCGTCAATCCAGCCAACCCCAAGGGACCGACCTCATCCAGCGCGGAATTCCCCTCCATTCAGTTGGTACCCTTCGTATCCCCGCATCTATCAAGTCGCTGATTATTTCGCAGCCACAGACGGGCTTTCCCATTATTCCAGCCCCGTCTTCTGCAGTTCTCCTTTCGTTGTTGATCACCTCCTCCCCGCATCATGGCCGCCGACCTCTCCAGCTCGAGGGAGCTGTATGAATCTGGACTGACGGTCCACTCAGATTCTGAGAACTATTCGGCCAATCATGACATTTCCGGATCTCAGTCCTCCTCCTCGAGCTCTCCCCTGATCCTCTACAAGCCCCCGACCATCTGGAGTATCCTGCGGGGAGCTGCCATTAATCTCGTTCTCCCATTTGTGAATGGCTTGATGCTGGGATTTGGAGAGTTGTTTGCACATGAAGCAGCCTACCGACTCGGCTGGTCCGGGACAAAGGTACGAGTACATCTTTTGTTTGGTCCCCAGGTGGCGCAGGACTTGCCCCGGTCGCTTCTTTCAACCCCGGCCCTCGTTATGGTTCAATAATGCTAACGAATCTTCCATATTAGGTCTTCCCTATGCATCGGCGTTCGAGACCTGTCGGGCCTGGGATCGAGGTTCGAGACATCCCGTCGCAACGGAGGGGGACTAGGGCAGCCGGACTGAAAGATGCTACGTCTCTAGAGTAGACCCGGACGGAGTACTAGCGGACCATATAGATATCTCATCACGCCCGATTGATATTGGCATGTACGGGTAAAGTGGCATCAAAACAGTTCAGTTCTTGTCGCTTGCAGGGTGGCATGAATGCGCATCAGGGGTTACAGTGTACATAGAGCAAGCATCAGTAATCGGTCTGACTGGACGGCGTCTGGCGAACCACCTCGAATATAACCTCTCACATGGACGAGAATTGCATTTCTGGAACTGGCCAACACGTAAGTATGTCAAATCGCCCTAGATCCATAGCGAAGACTAGACCGCTCGAGACTCCGTAGAAATGATTGAGGATTTCCGCCCGGCAGAAAAGGCAGGCTTGGCACCGAAAAAGCGTCCCGAAAAGCCTCCGCGATTTTCCCCAAACTCCGACTCGATTTCCCCAATTCATCTCCTCCGCCTTCATACCAATTCTCACCATGTTGGGAGGGACTGGTCTCAGTGGACGCGGCGTCTTGCCCGCCGTGGCCCGGCAACGGTTGTATGCCTTCTCTCGTTCCAGCCGATCGGTTTGTCCTCCGCCGCAGTCATCTCTTGTCGGCTCCAGTACGAGGTTTGTTGACTTTGCCCTACAGATGTCCTCTTTCCGTCCGCAGACCCTGAGAACCGCCGTCCCATATGGTCAATCCAAGCAGACGCTGCTTGGAACACGCTCCTGGCGCCCTGCCACTGCCATCACCGGAGTGGCCGCCGCTCGCTTCAATTCCACCTCTTCGGCTCCTTCATCGACTACTGTCTCGGACCCGGCGGCCAGTGATGTCTCTCTCGCACCTCAAGGAGAAGTCAACCTCAATGATCTGACCGCGGCTGATATCAATGCGATCCCGGAGCAGATTGGATATTTGAAGCAATTGGGCTTGGATTTCGGCTGGGGTTTTTCGTCCATGATCGAATACAGCGTTGAGCATTTCCATATCATGGGTGGTCTCCCCTGGTGGGGTGCGATTGTCGCAACCGGTCTCTTCGTTCGTCTGGGTCTTCTGTACCCTACGCTTATGGCTGCGGACACTAGTACCAAGCTCAACAACATCAAGCACCTCACCACTCCGCTTCGGACGGAGATGGTTCAGGCCAACTACAAGAACGACCTGATGGAAGCGACACGGAAGCGGGCGGAGCTGAGCCAGCTACACAAGGACCACGGTATCAAGCCCTGGAAAGCGATGATCCCGATGATTCATATCCCCTTCGGTTTTGGTTGTTACCGCGTCGTCAACAACATGTGCAGTCTGCCGGTGCCCGGACTGACTACGGAACACGTTGCTTGGCTTCAGGACCTTACTGTCTCCGATCCCTACTATATTCTTCCTTTGATTGGATCGGTCATCCTACATCACACTCTCAAGGTGCGAAATTATATCTTTTCTTCCCCAACGTCTAGCTGATGCAGTTGCTTGTAGAAAGGAGGAGAGACCGGAATGAACCAGATGAAAGACTCTGCTTTCAAGAGCCTTTTCCTCTACGGCATGCCCACCATTTCGTTCCTGTTCATGGCCAACTTCCCGGGTGCCCTTCAGCTCTACTTCTTGACCACCAGTGTGTTTGCTCTGGGGCAAACGTACCTGCTTAGCTCGGCTACCTTCCGGAAGATGGCCGGTATCACCCTGGTGGATCATAACGTCCCGAAGCCCGACGAACAGCCAAAAAACGACCTTGGCCTCCGCTTGATCAACGAGGTACCTGACAAGGAGGCCGTCCAGAAAGCGGCTGCGGAGGCCGAACGCGAAAGGTTGAGTCTCATTGATCGTACCCTTGGACAAGTCAAGGAGACTGGGTCGAAGCTCAAGGATGAGATGCAGAAGAAGGTTGAGGAGTACCGGGGCAGCGGTCCTACCAAGAACGCGGATGGAACTGTTTCCGCGGGCCCTCGACTCAGTGAGAAGGACCGCAAGCTGGCGGAGGACTACGAGAGACGGCGTTCTGAGGAGGAGGCGTGGAAGCGCGAGGAGCGGAACCATGCCCGCCGCGAGGCTCATCTGAGGGCCATGGAGCTGCAGCGCCAGAAGGCTGCGCAGGCGAGCCGGCAATGAGTGCATTGATATGACCAGGCGTGAAGGGCTCCAGCGTGATGTTTTATTGTAATTATCTGTATTATATTGATGCTATCTCATTCTCATTCACCCCGGCTGTTTTATAGGAATAGATTAGGTTTTGTTAACCATGGAATACCTGATGCATAGTTGGTGAACGTGAAGACATTCACAACATCTTGTTGGCCCCGTTCACTAGCCATCCTGAGGCTGTCACTCATGCTTAGTCGCCACCAAATAGCTTCACTGGCCCTGCTCAGGGCTTGCCTATAAAAGCCATCGCCCCGGCGTCAGCGTGGGTTTCTTCTTCCTTCTTCATTCTCTCCCCACAAAACATAACACGCTTCTCACGTTCTAAAGGATCTGGTGTGAACTGCTAGATTCTTTTCATCATCACTCATCTCATATAAACACATCGAGGCTACGGCAGGAGATATTTGGATGAGCCTGATCCATCACATCCATCTCCAGATGCGTAAATCAAAGCTATATGGCAGACTACAATCTTGCTGTATCTGCCAACAAGCATCTGTCTGGCGACTGATGAAAGGGTGCTTTCCGAAGATCGCCAAAAGATAAGCACTGAATATCCTGAGACGTGGAGAAGATCTGGCTGGGCGATGAGTCTGATGGCCAGCTGCCCAAGCCCAGCGTTAATCGGGTCATTCCGGGATATGAAGGCTAGCACCGCTTGAGACTTTCCTTCTAAGCTAGCTCGACGTCTCAATTACTGTCCACAGTCAAGTTCTATGCTGGGATATCCATTTCCTCGCTGCCTACGGAAACCCAGCATCAAACAGCACTTAGGGCATTGGAGCAACCCTGCGCTCATCAGTGCGACCGAAAAGAATCTCCAATTTTAGAGTCGCAAACGTCATTGGTACTCCTCGAAAAGCCAGGACAACACATTGGTACAAATGCAAAGACAACTCACTCCTGATACCTTGGCCTGGATGAAACAGCTGGTTCTGGGAGAAGGCGACTTCAGCACCGGTTCAGTAAAGTTGACCATGCTCTGTTGCCTTTCTTTAATATGAAGAGGAGCCTGATTGTTCCTATGCTTAATCCACTGGCTAGTTCAAGACCGAACAATCTCGCGAGCATGATAGTTCGTACTCGAGACATCTGCCTTGAACGCGCTCAAGGTACGGAAAAGAATGGTCAGACAAAGGGACCATTTGCCAGAGGCTCTTGCCTGGTGTGCGCTCGAAGCTGCGTGTACCTCAAGTCCGAGCTCTGGGCTACGTCTAAAAGTTCCACATTTCGAATGACCAGACAATAAAAGCATATAAATCGATGTTTAAATGCATGTTTGCACGGGTCGGGACGATGAAGTCCATGCCGTGGGCGATTAGCATCCACAATCGCCAGGCATTAGCCGCACTAAAAGCGCGATATTCTGGGCGTCGACGACTACACCCATCTGGAATCAGCCCATAGACAAAAGGATGTTTTAGTCCTACTATATTGCAATCAAACAGCAGACAGTGAAGACAGCAATGGAACGGCGGCCAAGACCTGACAGGACAAGGAGCAGGTGTAGCAAAATGTCTGTGCTATGCTGAGGGTAGCCATGATTGTCGAAGACGTGCCTCAAGCAAACCTGCGTGCCACCCAGCATCCGACCGGACATGCTTACTATCTTGGCCGTCACTGCACTAGGCTTTGACCACGAAAAATACGTCGAGAGATTACCTACTCATCGCTTAGTCCATCTCCGTTTAGGACGTACTTCCCCCGGCCGGCTCGAAGGGTTGCCTGAACTAGCGTCACAAGATGGGAGTTACGAAGCTCGATTAGTGACATTACAGGGTGGAGACTAAATTTATGATGCTCTGGAAGATCTTGGAATGCCGGAAACGATCGTGACAAATATCTATTTGTCTTTATAAGCCAACACCTGAAGAAAGGATCAGGTGTTGCAGATTTATTGGAGTGATGCAGCAAAACTATCTAAAGGCAAATAACGCGGAGGCGTGCGACAGACCCTAACTGCCCAAAGACAATGACATGCAGATTAATACTGTGGTGCACTTCTGGCAGCCAGTCGCAGAATATATGTTGAGAACTTATATGAGCTAGTTCACTGCCTGAGGATGACCCTTGACCAATGCGGCGTCCATCTGAAAAAGCCCTCTGTGTTGGTTGTGCTATGAATGAGCAGGTTTCTGTCCTCTGTCGCCAGTGCTCAGGATACTCGTGGAACGCAGGTATTCAGGTAGCCGTTTCTGTGATAACTGGTGACTGCTAACTGGTCAAACCTGGGCTGGTATATCAGAAGACGCCCACGAGGTTGTTAGACAACTCGAGTGGATGACTGCCTTCTACGATAAACCAAAGTACGACGAAGAAGGTTGGGCATTTGTTTTTCAGATGAGTGATACCTACTGGCTGGTTAGACATCGGCCGGCATGTTAGGAGACGCCAACAATGTCGTTAGACCACTTGAGGGGATCGCTGCCTTCTACAACAAACCAGACGATGAAGAAAGATTCCGATGGAAAAGTCGTGGTGGCAGCATATAAGGCCATCTTCCCATTAGGTAACGCCTTCGCTGTGGTACTGCTTATACAAAATATCGTCATTTGACCACTTATGTCAATTGAAGGACTGTAACTGGGATAGCTGGTTACGGTGGCTATTGACTGATGGTTCGGTAGAACCGATTGTTGGTCCGTTTTAACTGCACCCCACCAGTTCCAGAATCAAAGCTTAATGGAAAGATTCAACGGTTCAGTCCCTATACGAACCCCTTCTATATACTATAAACAGTCAGGCACAGGGGTAAGGCGATCAGAAGGCATCCAACAAACAATATGTGATGCTACGCTCTTACACGCCAATGATTCTACCTGCCATCGAGTTTGACAAGTATATGAGCAAATACGGCTCCAGTGACGACCTGTCTGAACAGGTAGCAGGCGTACTTAATCGATCATCAAACTGGGCCAGCTACATCTGCGTTCTCAGGGAAGACATCCAGTCGATGGACATGTACAGACCTAAATGCATACAGACATCTCAAAGCCACACTGGAGGTTTCGAGGCTTTTGTATAAATACAGAATGACGATTCAATAACAAACAAGGAAACACAAAAGAGAACTCGCAAACAACTTCCCGTGAAAGTGGAAAAAGAGCCAGACTCTCACATACGAAGTGATCAAGGGAGTCATCGATGATCGGGGATGAAAAGCCTAGCCTCTCCAAATCAGGCATACGATGTGATCATCCCGTGCCTGCTAAGGTCATTTTACTCACCTTCAAACTTACGATAACGATACTGTGTCTAAAGAGAGAAAGCATGTGGCGGCGAGCTTCAAGTACATGAACGACATGTTGCCTCTGGGTCAATCATATCTCTTCTAGCAACACAAGGCCACTGGAATGGATAGTTGAAACAAGCGACACAAGAAGCGGCATTGAACTCGGTGTATACAGATGTGGTGGGCCTGAGCCATGCGCTTAACAATTAATAAAAACAACAAACTTGTCTTTTATATCTAATGTACCGTCGATGGGAGTAGGACAAAAACAAGATTTCAACAAAAGTTGGACCAAGTCTGGCCAAATGGACGGAAGGAAGATGGGCGAGGAAGTACCCATTGCAGCAAGCACACAAACCCTCTTCATCGGTGTCCATCTTCATGCGATCGCGTCTGTCTGCTGCTGCCTATAACAGACAAATACACAATTATGACGAAGATCGCCCGATCTCGAAAGTCAGTGTTATGTTATAATGCATACTGCAAGACATGGAATTCTATACATCCTACCCAGGGAAGGAATCCGTACACATACACAGTAACAAAGACGACCTATATATTGAAAAACTGTGTTTTCCGAAGGCCTGTTCCATGCAGAGCAAGATGCCTGCGATGAACTTGCCCGATAATCTGCGGAGCCCGGAACCAGAGAAAGCATTACTGCAGCAACGCGTCATGCGAGCTCAGGCGAGACTCAAGCCAGAATGAGACAAGATTAAGTCAGGAGATAGAGGCAGCGAAGCTGACTGTAGCGATTACCGAAGTTGAGCACCATGAGCTCAATGAACCTATTGAAGCACGCGCCAAACACCGGCCATCAAGGCAGAAACGGCAAGTCATCGAGCCAAGGAAGCCCTGAAAGATGCTGGAATGCACAACAGTCCAGAATTATATGAGATGTGATTACTGCCTGTTGTTACATACACTCCATTGCAGCAGGCCGATATTTCGCAGGACAAAATTCTAGCAGCCAACGTGCCTGTCATAATGCTCCCTACCGGGATACATACACACGAAAAGGAACATTTACTTCCACCAGGTATCAGTGTTCCTTAGATTCTACATCAATACAAAAAAAAACAGAAACAAGGGAACAGGTGATGAGACCAGCATGATTCTATATGCTGCGCAACCACTGATGTAACATCGGTGGTGGGTTGGTTGATACAACGAGTCTAGTATCAACAACCGAAGAGCAGAGTAAGATATGAAGGAAGTTACGACGGTAAATGCTTGCTTTGCTTGCATGAGTATATACGGTAGTAGACTGGAGGGACCTACTACTAGTATCAGAAGTCTATTTGTCTGTCTATATCATACTACGTCTGAAACTGAGATATTCATGCAACCATTGCAGCAACCGAAGAAGTCAGAGGAGATATAAAGGACATTATCTACGTGGATACTTCGAAACGGGGTAATGGAAAAAAGCAAAGATAGGGGGATGATGATGATGAATGCTTGTTGGAGTAAACTGCGAGGACATACTACTTTTATGACACTGATACAGAGCACTGTCTATGACGATGGTAGTGGGGGAATCGGAAATTGTGCGTCGCGGTGGGTTTATGAAGGATAGAAACGGTGATTTGGGTTCGGACGTGGTTGTTATTATATGCTTATAATATACACACAATAATACATTCATACCATGTTAACATCATTATCAGCTGATATAGTAACAACAGCAACTGATATCATGTACGGTAGTAGAGCGTAGGAAATCCAAGAGACAAATGGTGCGGTGGGAACCATAACGGATGGATGGACCTTATCGAGAGTAGAAACGAGGGAAGTGGGTGTAGGGGGAAGGGGGGGATAGGCGCTTTCTTGCATGTATTCTCAGTAGAGGTCAGTGAGATGCAACTCTAGATCTGCCACTGCATATAAGGTGATGGGTATGCATGCTAGAAGTAAAATCATGATTAGAATGAGTGTTCAGTGTTCAGTAACTATAGACAATCCGTCTATCATCATTTATTATGATACTATCATTACTGCAGTGGTCTTTCTCAGTATTTCAGCCACCATTTTGCTATCCACGCTCACCTCTGCGCTCCCAGCTTTACCATAACCAGATCCATATTCCATTACCGGAAGATGCGCCGTCCGNCAACACTACCCGCCGACCAAGTCACCGACCCTCGCACCCCCAGATTGCCCATACTCAGACCCGAGAACCCTACGCCTCCACCCTCTCCATCCCGCTTATACCGCCGCAGCGCTTCTCTTAGATGCGAGGGCAGCAACTGGCCCCGATGGGGATTCGGAGGCAGCTTAACATCCTTCTTCCCCATAGGCGTAGACATGGGCCCCCTTTCCATGGGCTCCTGCTTAATACCCCCAGGTGTTGTGGTTGTCGTTGTTGTTGTCGTCGCCTGTTCAGCTTCAATTGCAGCCAAAGCCGCCTGATCATGAGCGATAGCCCACTCCGCCTGCACGGTACGAGCCTTCTCAATAATCTCACCCGCAAACACCTTCGTAAAGCCATTAATCGTTGTAACCACACTAGCCGGCACAGACTGCGACAGCGCATGATTGACAATACGTCGTAGCGTCTCCTTTCGTAATTTGGCTCGTTTGAACAGGTCATATCGCTCCGACTGGATGGGATTGAATGCATCCACCAACAACCTACACCAGAACCAGTTAGCAACTTCGCCCACAAGCCAGATATAGAGTCGTCCAAAAGGAGGGATGCATACGCCATATTCTTCTTCTCCGCCTCCGTATCCGTCGTCCCCTCTTCCCTCCCCAACAACTCCCCCTCATCATCAAAATCCTCATCCTCATCTGCATCTTCTCCTCCCCCTCCTCCTCCGGCACCGCCAGAAGCACCACCCCTCACTGACGCGCCATCCACATCCACCGACCCCAGTCGATCCATTCCCGCCCGCAAACTCCCTTCTTCCCTCTCGCGCTCCTTCTCCGCTTTACTCTTCCTGCCGCGCTTCTTTCCCTTCGTTAGGAACACCCCATCTGCGCTGGTCCCGCCCAGACTGCCTGTAAAGCTGCCCGTCACGCTGCCGGCATCGCTGTAGGTGCGCGTGTCTGCGTCGATGGTGTTCGGGAAGGAGGTCTGGCGGAGGGGGTGCATGCGCGGTCGCTTGGGATGGCTGCCGAGTGGTTGAGAGGAGGCCGAGGAGATGGAGGGGCGTTTGAGGGGGTTTGAGGACGGTGGTGGTGGTGAGGACATGATGTGTTTGTGTTAAGAAATGGTGTGATGGGTGATGTTGATGTTGATGTTGCTTTGTCGAGAGCCGACAAGGCTTGCTCGCAGCGCGGATGAAAAGTCGTGTCTCGATCTGTCTGCGAAATCTCGGTAAGGCGCGAATAAAGACTCAGCTGTTCAAGTTATTCAGGATAGAAAGTGTACACGTGATGGACTGGGTTATGGAGACTGCTGGGGGGGAAGATGATGCGACGGAGTGTGGATGAAAGAACCAAAGGAAGGCGGCTTATCGGTGTTACGGCGCCCCATCCGGCAAGTCTGCCGAGTGGTCGACTTTCCGCCGGCGCGCTCCTGCACCCGCCCGCTGCTTATTTCTACTTCACTCGTTCGTCGCTCAACTACTCGGGTTTTCTACGATCAATGCACCTGACCAGTCCGTAGGACGGATAATATTTGTTCGAAATAACCACAATGCCACAAATCCGTAAGCGAAGGTGGATACTAACATTGCTCAAAAAGGAACAAAGCTCAATCGCTCGATGATAGGAAAGTAACAGCTGACAAAACCCGAAATTGGAAACAGTCAAGAAACGATATCATTCTCCCACTTCCTTCTCACCTCTCATGCATGGACAGACACCGTGTTCGCTCTCTCAAACGCGCTCTTCTCCGAGCCGAGGGGCCCCCCCTTTCCAGTCAAGACGTTCGTAGTAGCGGAACACGAGGTCATATCCGTCCAAGTCATGCACGATCCGATCCACCCGACGATATCCTGCCACGTTTTCCATCTTGGTGCGACGAGCTGCCTGCCGCTCAATGTACTTGACCTCCTTGATGTGGTCCAACTCGCCGTCGGCGGTAGTAGTCTCCGGCTTAGCCTCGAACAAGGTCACCGTGAAGCGTCCAGGCTTGAAGATGTTCACCACCTGCTGAATAATCTCCTGCGTAGTCTGGCCGTTCTGCGAGTGCGGCACGTTGGTCTCAAACGACGCATACGAGCAGTGAGGCTCCGGAGTCACATGCACCGTGAAGTAGTGTGTTCCGGTGTTCTGGTCAGGCGTGGGGATGACGCCATTGGCGGAGAATCCGCACGGGGTAAACAGGTAGGCGTCGATCCGAGACTCGGGGAACTTGGACTTCGGATAGACGTCCGAAAGACCACACGACTCCGACACGACCGTTCCCAAAGCATGACCCTCGGTAGTCAGCTCAGGGGGCAAGACGCGGCTGCCGTTGGACGACACATCATCCATGTCGGAGTTGTTGCTGAAAACATCAACGTGGTCGTCATTGTCGGCCTCGAAGTTGCAGTAACGCTTCTCGGCAACAGCAGTAGCGTGGTCGAGGTAGAACTGCTTGGCGTTCTCCTCATCCAGGTCGGTCATCAACACCTCCAGAGTCTCGTCCTGGTCTTCGCGAGTCTGGTAGGCACCAGCTGCGGGCACTTGAAGCACCTTGGTCTCGGTCACCGGATCCTCCGACTCGACGCGAGGGCTGGTCGGGGGAGTGAGCAAGGTGTTGGGCTCAGTCAGGTAGAGGTACCAGTGCTCGCCGTTCATCTTGCCAATCATGTAGGCGCTGCCGTTGAGGAAGAGCTTGTCCATGGTGCGAACCTCGTCTCTCCAGCTGCGGTGGGGACCGCGCTGACGGTCGGGGAAGAGGAAGTTCTTGCGGCTGTAGAACACACGGTACGGGGCCGCAGCGACGGAGATGCCGCGGGAAGCAGGTGCGGTAGCGCGAGGGAAGCCACCAAACAAAGCGGCAACTTCGAGAATGCGCGGAAGTCCCGACAGCAGGGTCGTCGTACCACAGGTCTTCAGGATCAGCTTGTGCGGCCAGACGAACATGCTGGACTCGGACAAGAGATAGGCGTCGACATCCTCGGACGAGACGATGGAGAGCACTTGGCAGTTGACGAGGTCAAGCATGTCCTTCCAGATCTCTTCAGGCACAGCCTTCAAGCCGGCAGGACCGGCAGAACCCAGTTCCTGAGCGGACGGGGCAAACCAAACCTCCAGAAGCTTCTCGGGGCCTTCATTCACGTCAGTATAGTTCCAACATAGAGCCATTAGTATCACAGCCACATACCTTCGAAGGCGTTGGTGGAATCAAGATCCTGGGTTGCCTCAAGGTTGATCGTCAAGGACGGGGTCCCCATGAAAGAGGACGGCGACGTCGTGTAGTGCTGGGGGATCCCAATGTAGACCATCTTGACCGATTGATAATGCAGCAAATTAATCGGTAAAGCGGACGGAGCAGCGATATAGCAGGTGCGCGCGACTGGATGTGTGGACCGTAGACAAAGAGCCTAGGAAGCACTATCTGCTGCCCAGACGAACAGGGGGGCTATGTCCGTCTGAGAGAGTAGGCCCTTAATCTGTTTTTCTGGTAATTGGCACTCAGCCAAAGAGGGGTAGTTTCGGTAGAAGCCTGAAGGGCTGCTAGGGAGGGCGGAAAGAGAGGGAAAGGAGGAAAAAGCCTCTGGAAAAGGGAATGGTGACTATCTGGTCGTGACCCTCGTGCTGGAAGATACCGATACCGGCGAAAGTATCGGGTCTAGCAGACGAGAGTATCTGCTTTTGAAATGTGGGAGAGAAAAAAGTGAGGTTTGCGCGACTGGAGAAAAAAGGTGGGGTTCAAGCGTGTTATCGGGGCCTACTCGCGATCTGTTAGCCATGACAGAAACTTTTGACCCACCGGAGACGAAGTGAAGAGACTAAGGAAAGAAGACAAACGGCAACAAACATACTTGGCAGGCTTAGACAGGTACCGTAGTAGATCCTTCGGGTTCATGGAAGGCAGGACAGAAGACGAGCTTAAAACAGCACGATGTCGTGAGAAGCCACAGCACTGAACATCTGCGAGGCGACTTTCGACGGCAACGATAACGGGTAGGGCAAGTGTGCAGCGGAATGCAGCAAAGCGATTTGGCTCTTTGATCACTCAATGACTCAAAGACAACCAAAGCGATAGAACCTCCACCGGATGAGTGAGGAGGAAGGAGAGGGAAATAAATAAGATTTCAAAAAAGGCACGCGGACGTGGGGGGG